TTTCGGGCAGTGGTTGCTGGGCTCCCCGGGGACCTCTTTTCTGCCCATCATCCCTCGGGTTTTGGGGGATTCGCTTCATTCTTCTGAGCCAGGACAAAGGCTTGAGCCTCAGAGAAAATCTTTGTCATGGTTTCCTCCGAGGGAGTTTCTTTGTAGAACTCAAGGTGCAAAGCCACTTCTTGGTGCAGAGCCTATCTTTTGCTCTCCAGCTGTGGCACAGCTGCCTCACTGCTTCGGCGATCGTCTTCCATGAGGGCGGCAATCAGCTCAGCCTTAGTGCGATTTCCAGCCGATTGCCTTCTGGCTGCTACCAACTTTTGTAGTGTTAGCCTCTTTAGGGTTATGTATTCGTGTAGTCCTTGAGCCGATTTGGTTCATGAACGCTGACTCAATTCGTCTGGAAAGTGCGATCCCGCTGCTTACCACCAGTTGTAGCAGGACACGGGTAACCTGACCGGTTACCTCCGCTAATTCTCTTCCTTTAGCTGAACAGGAACCAGTGAGAATACAAAGAGACCCATTTCCCCCAGTAACTAGAGAACACACAGTTCTGGAGATACAACAACCACTTTATTATAGCATAACCCCATGCAAAGGGTGTAACACACAGCATACAATGTCCCCTTCCAGGATCCTCCCCCTCCCCGGGAACGCGGGAAAAGGCTTTGTCCCTTTGTCTCCAAAAGCCCACTACCCAAACACAGGGCTTCCCACATCACGGACAAGGGGGTCTTCATCCCTGGAGCCTCTGTACCTGGAAGACCAAGGGTGGGAAGGGAACGTTCCTTTGTCTCCCAGGCACAGAGATACCTGGTGTAGTGGATGGTACTGTGGCTGTCCTTAAAGACTATGAGAATCCTGCAATTCGTGTGTTGTTTCTGCTTTGTATTTAATTGTAAGTAGCATTCGTATGATTGTTCGGTAGTTTCCATCTGTATTTCATACAAATGGAAACTACCGAACTAATAGACCACCCCAGAGTGAAGCGTGTCCCTCGTTAAGCTGTAAAGTACTTGCTAACCGCAGGCTAATAGGTGGTTTATGGATGTATCTGGGTGGCCGCCATTCGGGATGCGAACACGTGGCGGCGGCCATCTTACACACGAAAGGCTCAGCGGTGTTTGGTCATCGAGTGTCTGGAACTCAAATCGGACACTCGTGTGATGAAGTGCCCTTCGCCACTTGGTCCTGGAGAAGCCTGCTTGCCAGCCTCCTCCCCTGTGACTATGACTCTGTGATGTATTTGGATTTAAAGCCCCTATTCTACCTTCAGACAGACTATTTATGTAGGTTTCTTTATTTCTCTTGTTTTAGTCACCCTGTACCCATTATAGGTGCAGGGTGTGTGTAATGTAATTGTTTATAGTGTGTGTGTGTACTGTGTAATATGACAATGCATACCAGGCCCTCTGGTGGCATACCGTTCGACTTACCCCTTGGACGGCTGAGCATGACTTACCGGAGGGGGATGATTATGATGGCCCGGGTTTATTATGGGATGCATTGGAGGACGACATGATCTTGGCAGCATGGAGGGGTCTAGGTTTTGGGACATCTACGACTACCGGATGGGCATGTATGTCTGGGTTGACGAATGCGAGGTGAGCAAAGACATGACCCACCTGGTAACAAGAGAGTGGGAGCTGGAGCAGGACTACCAACACCTGCTCAGCTTCGTGCAGCCCCAACCTACCTGACAAGCAGAACCAGACCTCATTGACTGGTCCTGGGATGACCTCCAGATGGCAGGTAGAGATGGGACCGAGGTCTCTCTACCGGCCCTACAGGGAGCCGAAGGTGTCGTCCTTCCTCCCCAGCGGCAGTGTGAGTTCCAGGGAACCGAAGGTGTCGTCCTTCCTCCCCAGTGGCAGTGTGAGTTCCAGGGAGCTGAATGTGCCGCCCTTCCTCCCCAGCGGCAGTGCGAGTCCCAGGGAGCCGAAGGTGTCGTCCTTCCTCCTCAGCGGCAGTGTGAGTTACAGGGAGCCGAAGGTGTCGTCCTTCCTCCCCAGCGGCAGTGTGGGTCCCAGGGAGCCGAAGGTGTCATCCTTCCTCCCCAGCAACAGTGCGAGTTACAGGGAGACAAAGGTGTCGTCCTTCCTCCCCAGCGGCAGTGTGAGTTCCAGGGAGCCGAAGGTGCCGTCCTTCCTCCCCAGCGGCAGTGTGAGTTCCAGGGAGCTGAATGTGTCTCCCTTCCTCCCCAGCGGCAGTGTGAATTCCAGGGGGTCAAAGGTGTTGTCATTCCCCCCCAGCAGCAGTGTGTCCTACAGGGGGCAGAGAAAGTTGGTCTCTCTCCCCAGCAGCAGGACAATGTTACGGGAGTGGAGACAGTTGGTCTCCCTCTCCAGCGGCAGCATGTGCTTCAGGGAGATGAGCACAGCCCCCTCTCTCCCCAGCGGCAGCTTACTGTACCAAGTGGAGAAACCAATCTTCTAGATGGCGCAGATGGGACCGTGGTCTCTGTGCCTGACCCACAAGGGTCAGCTACCATCGCAGGAGTACCAGGAGGAGGAGGTAACCCAATTCCCCCCATCCCAGCTAACTCCTAACTTGGCCCCAGGGTTAACAGAGGATATGTTAACCCCCACTGACCCCCACGTTCCCCTGGCTACTGAGCTGGACTATGTCCTAAGCACCCCAGCAGAAGAGCTGGCAGCTGGGCAGAGTGCAGTTGCCTCCCTGCCCTCCCTTTGTCCCTTGTCCAGAGCATGATGTCCTGCAGGCTATACCAGCGGAAGAGCTGGCATCAGGGCAGAGCACCGCTGGCCTCTGCCCCTCAAGTCCCCACAGCGTGTTGCCCCATCACCCCAGAGGAATACCCAGGTGCAGTCACTGTTTGCTGTGGGTGGGCTGCTCTAATAACTGTTTGTTGTGGGTGGGCTACTCTGGCACTTGCTTATGGTCGGTGGGTGAATCGACTAACTTAGGCACTGACCGACAGAAAGTCAGGTGCCTGGTTAGTCTTCCCCACGAAGGGGAGATATGTGATGAAGTGCCCTTCGCCACTTGGTCCTGGAGAAGCCTGCTTGCCAGCCTCCTCCCCTGTGACTATGACTCTTTGATGTATTTGGATTTAAAGCCGCTATTCTACCTTCAGACAGACTATTTATTTAGGTTGCTTTATTTCTGTTATTTTAGTCACCCTGTACCCATTATAGGTGCAGGGTGTGTATAATGTAATTGTTTATAGTGTGTGTGTGTGTACTGTGTAATGTATTGCCTGCTCTCCTGTACTGCTGAGGTTTGCTACCAACTAGGTGGGCTTGGCTATGGAGCTTGTCTAGTGCCCTCTGTTGGTAGCAACAGCAATATGCACTACCTGAATAGCAAGACTGGTTCATTTGCATATTCAGGTAGATTTGCATATTGCTAATTCTGCAGACACGTGAGATATTTTCTGTTAAATATTGTCTCCCCCACCCCTTTAAAAATGTGCCATTGTGTTGTGATAAGTCACTGTGTGCTGCCTGCTATGGTTTGACTGTTTGTGATTTTATTGAGTTTTCACAGCAATGTTAATGTTGTGACACTATGGGCTGGTCCCAAGGGAAATAAAGGTTTAGACAGTTCTTCTTGCTCCCTCTAAACGTAGCCTTGTCTTGTTATTGGAGCGAGCTGTTATAATCACACTGGGGCTCTGCATACTCCCCTGAGCTTGAATCACTTAGCTCTTTTAAGAGCTTGTTCCTGACATGCTCTCCTTGGAGGAGAGGTCTTCGCCACACAGTCCTGGATGCTGGAGGTTCATACAGGGTGGAAGGAAGAGGTCTTTCCCACACGGTCCTGGAGGACAGAAGCTGATCCAGGTTGGAAGGAAGACGGCGAGACTCCAGTCAAGCTACAGTGGTTGCGGAGACTGCGGTGGTTGTGGTGTCTGCTGCAGTGCTTGGAGTCCTCAGGAAGCGCTAGGAGCATCCTTCAACGGAGGTACCCAGTCGGGGTGCCAGGTGATCCGTTACAACTTGATTACCCGAACACCGCTGACACCTCCAGAGCTCCATAACTCAGGAACGGGAAGACGAATCAGCCCCCCGTTCGGTGAGTTTAGCATACCGAATGAGGGAAGTCATGCGAACGTAACTGTATTAGTGGATGGCAGGTTTTTATGTGTCTTTTCCCTCCCGAACGGAGACCGACCGCAGGGCCAAAATGCATGGAACCCTTTTTGGATACCACCTCGTGTGCGGTCGGTCAAATTTCACCCTCCACCTAACTCCCGAACCCCTGGTCTGATCTGGTTGAATTTTGGATATGTTGGTCACCCAGATCAGGGCTATCAGGGGGTACCCAAAGTACTGGTGTACCTGCTAATCTTGGGGTACATCCAGATCTTGGGGAAAACTATAATCTGTATAATGGGATTAGGTGTCATACTAAGGGGAGGAGATGTGTGGGAGGTAACTGCTATTCCATTGGGTACTGTCTTAATGAATGCGAATCCCTCCCTTGCATGGGAGAAATGCCTAAAAGGAGGTTGTGTGGAATAAACGTCAGTTCTGCTCCTGATGCTGTGTGTCGTCCAGTCATTGGGATCTGTATGGGGATATTCTTGGATTACCTTGCTTGCTGGAATTATTACTTTATGTGATTTTTCATCACTTGTTCCTGAGTTTCACTGGGATCTTAGTGGAGTTAACCTGTGAAATACCAGGCCTCCGCTACACCTGGTCTCTTTGTCACAGCGGGCAACGCAATGCCTGCCAAACTCGCCAGTGCCCACACCAATCTCAGTGACGCTCGCAACGGTACCTTCCTCAACCAGACTCCGCTCGCTTTTCTCGATTTAGAATTGTTTTACTGATTTTTTTTTTTGTATTTATCATTGTTTTTATTTCTAGAAAGACACAGATTACCTGATTTGCTGTGTGCTTCTGTGCCACTGCTTGCGCTTTGAAGATTACAAGCTTCCTCCCTCAGTATAGTCTGTGACACTTTAATGCACAATTGACCCCTACCTGCAGTGAATGTAGCAGGTATTTTTTTTAACTCTTTGTAGAAAAAATATTTAAAGTTATAGTTGTGGTGGTTGTTGACTTTTTTCAAATGCATTTAATTGTACTTTTTTGGTTTTGCCCTGCCTGGATGAGTCTTATGGGGCAGAGGCATACCTAGGGTCTCTAGCGCCCCTTGCAAGAAGCTGTATAGGCCCCCCTATCAATTTCAATCTTTTTTTATTTTCTGCATTTCCATAGTGAGCATGGTACTCGTATTTTAGCATAGTACTCAAATGTGATTTAGCCTAGCAGAGTGTGTTTGTGTATCGGATGAAAGGTGTATAGTGAACATAGAGTGTTTGTTTGTGTAGTGTATGTAATGTAGTGTATGGTAAATACAGAATGTGTTTGTGTAGTGGATGTAGTGTGTGTGTATTATTTACAGTGGGTAGTGAATGCAATGTCTATGTTTAGTGAATGCAGAGTGTGTGTTAGTGTAGTGTATGTAGAGTGTGTGTGTTAGTGTAGTGAGTGCAGAGTGTGTTTGTTAGTGTTGTGAATGCAGAGTGTGTGTGTTAGTGTTGTGAATGTAGAGTGTGTATTAGTGTATGCAGTTTGTGTAAATGTTGTGCACACATTCATTTTAAAAAATGTTATTCCCCCCTCCCTGTGACCAAGAAGGGTGGAGATTCTATTCCCTGGTAGTCCGCTGGCATGGCAGAGGGGCCCACCACACTCCGTCTGCACATTACAGCTCCTCTCTCTCATTCAGTCTCGCGAGCATGGCTTGCGTGCCGCACAGAGCGTTGCCATGGTATCCGTGGCAAAGCTATGTCTGCCGCGGATCTCACGAGAGTTAATGAGAGAGAGAAGCTGTAATGCGCAGATGGAGTGTGCTGGGCCCCTCTGTGATATACAGACAGCTGGGGCCCCACAGCTGCACATATATATTGATAATGGTGATATATATATATATATATAGTATATATAGATAGATAGATAGATAGATAGATATTCGCACATAGCGAATGTGGAGCCCGACACTCTCTCCCCGACATGTCTCCCTCCCTTCCCTATCTCTCCCCCATGTCTCCCTCCCTTCCCTATCTCTCCCCATGTCTCCCTCCCTTCCTTATCTCTCCCCATGTCTCCCTCCCTTCTATATCTCTCCCCATGTCTCTCTCTCTTCTATATCTCCCCCATGTGTCCCTCCCTTCCCTATCTCTTCCCCATGTCTCCCTCTGTTCTCTCTCTCTCCCCCATGTCTCCCTCCCTTCCCTATCTCTCCCCCATGTCTCCCTCCCTTCTCTATCTCTCCCCATGTCTCTCTCTCTTCTCTTTCTCTCCCCCATTTCTCCCTCCCTTCTCTATCTCTCCCCATGTTTCACTCCCTTACCTTTCTCTCCCCAATGTCTCCCTCCATTCTCTCTCTCCCCCATGTCTCCCTCCCTTCCCTATCTCTCCCCATGTCTACCTCCCTTCTCTATCTCTCCCCATGTCTCTCTCTCTTCTCTATCTCTCCCCCATTTCTCTCTCCTTTCTCTATCTCTCCCCCATTTCCCCCTCCCTTCTTCATCTCTCCCCCAAATCTCTCTTCCTTCTCTATCTCTCCCCATGTATCCCTTCCTTCTATCCCCCATGTCTCCCTACATTCTCTATCTCTCCCCCCATTTCTCCCTCCCTTCTCTACCTTTGGTCTCCATGTCTCTCTCCCTTCTTTATCTCTCCCTCCCATGTCTCCCTCCCTTCTCTATCTCTCCCCATGTCTCTCTCTCTTCTCTATCTCTCCCCCATTTCTCCCTCCCTTCTCTATATCTCCCCATGTCTCCCTACCTTCTCTCTCTCCCCCAATGTCTCCCTCCCTTCCCTCTCTCCCCAATGTCTCCCTCCTTTCTCTCTCTCCCCAATGTCTCCCTCCTTTCTCTATCTCCCCCCTTCCCTATCTCTCCCCCAGGTATCCCTCATTCCCTATCTCTTCCCCATGTCTCCCTCCCTTCCATATCTCCCCCTTGTGTCTCCTTCCCTTCCCTATCTCTCCCCATGTCTCCCTCCATTCCCTATCTCTCCCACATGTCTCCCTACCTTCCCTATCTCTCCCCCATGTCTCCCTCCCTTCCCTGTCTCTCCCCCATGTCTCCCTCCCTTCTCTATCTCTCCCCCATGTCTCTCTCTCTTCTCTATCTCTCCCTATTTCTCCCTTCTCTATCTCTCCCCATGTCTTCCTCCTTCTCTGTCTCTCCATGTCTCCCTCCTTCCTATCTCTCCCCATGTCTCCTCCTCTCCCCCATATCTCTCTCCCTTCTCTATCTCTCCCCCATGTATCCCTTCCTTCTCTATCTCTCCGCCATGTCTCCCTACATTCTCTATCTCTCCCCCCATTTCTCCCTCCCTTCTCTACCTTTGGTCTCCATGTCTCTCTCCCTTCTTTATCTCTCCCTCCCATGTCTCCCTCCCTTCTCTTTCTCTCCCCCATTTCTCCCTCCCTTCTCTATCTCTCCCCATGTCTCCCTCCCGTCTCTATCTCTCCTCCTGTGTCTCACTCCCTTCTCTATCTCTCCCCAGTGTCCCTTCCCTGTCTCTCCCCATGTCTCCCTCCCGTCTCTATCTCTCCTCCTGTGTCTCACTCCCTTCTCTATCTCTCCCCAGTGTCCCTTCCCTGTCTCTCCCTCAATGTCTCCCTCCCTTTCCTATCTCTCCCCCATGTTTACCTCCCTTCCTCATCTCTCCGCCCAACATGTCTCTCTCCCTTCCCTATCTCTCCCTCCCCGTAACTTCTTCCCTTCCACATCTCTCACATCCATACCTCTCTCCACATGTCTCTTTCTCCCTTCCATCTATCTCACTCCTTTCCATTTCTCCCCATGTCTTCTTCCCTTCATACTATCTCTCCCCAGCATGTCTCCATACACCTTACATATATGTCTCCCTATCACTTACATCTCTATGTCTCCCTACAACTTACATCTCTATGCCTCCCACCATGTCTCCCTACATCTTACATCTATGTCTCCCTATCACTTATATCTCTATGTATCCCACCATGTCTCCCTACACCTTTCATCTACAGGTGATACTCGAAAAATTAGAATATCGTGCAAAAGTTCATTTGTTTCAGTAATGCAACGTAAAAGGGGAAACTAATATATGAGATAGACGCATTACATGCAAAGCAAGATAGTTTAAGCCGTAATTTGTCATACGTGCGATGATTATGATTTACAGCTCATGAAAACCACAAATCCACAATCTCAGTAAATTAGAATATAACATGCAATCAATAAAACAAGGAGTGTACATAGAACAATATCGGACCTCTGAAAAGTATAAGCATGCATATGGACTCAGTACTTGGTTTGGGCCCCTTTTCCAGCAATTACTGCCTCAATTTGTCGTGGCATGGAATCTATCAGCCTGTGGCACTGCTGCAGTGTTATGGAAGACCAGGATGCTTCAATAGCGGCCTTCAGCTCTTCTGCATTGTTCGGTCTCATGTCTCTCATCTTTCTCTTGGCAATGCCCCATAGATTCTCTTTGGGGTTCAGGTCAGTCGAGTTTGCTGGCCAATCAAGCACTGTAAGCCCACAGTCATTGAAACAGGCTTTGGTGCTTTTGGCAGTGTGGGCAGGTGCCAAGTCCTGCTGGAAAATGAAGTCAGCATCCCCATAAAGCTTGTCTGCGGAAGGAAGCATGAAGTGCTCCAAAATCTCCTGGTAGACGGCTGCGTTGACCCTGGACTTAATGAAGCACAGTGGACCAACACCAGCAGATGACATGGCTCCTCAAATCAACACAGACTGTGGAAACTTCACACTGGACTTCAAGAATCTTGCAGTGTGTGCCTCTGAGATGCAAAAGTTGCTCTCATCAGAAAAGAGGACTTTGGACCACTGAGCAACAGACCAGGTCTGTTTTTCTTTAGCCCAGGTAAGACGCTTCTGACGTTGTTTGTTGTTCAGGAGCGGCTTGACAAGAGGAATACGACATCTGAAGCCCATGTCCAGGATCCGTCTGTGTGTGGTGGCTCTTGATGCACTGACTCCAGCCTCAGTCCACTCCTTGTGAAAGTCCCCAACACTTTTGAATGGCCTTTTCTTGACAATCCTCTCCAGGCTGCAGTCATCCCTATTGCTTGAGCACCTTTTTCTTCCACACTTTTCCCTTCCACATAACTTTCTATTAATTTGCTTTGATACAGCAATTTGGGAATATCCAACTTCATTCGCAATTACCTGTTGAGGCTTTCCCTCCTTATGGAGGGTGTCAATTATGGTTTTCTGCACAACTGTCAGGTCAGCAGTCTTCCCCATGATTGTGATTCCTACTGAACCAGACTGAGAGACCATTTAAACCCTTTGCAGGTGTTATGGCTTACTTAGCTGATTAGAGTGGGACACTGTGAGCCTAGAATATTGCACCTTTTCACAATATTGTAATTTACTGAGATTGTGGATTTGGGGTTTTCATGAGCTGTAAGCCATAATCATTGCACTTATGATAAATCACGGCTTGAACTATCTTGCTTTGCATGTAATGCGTCTATCTCATTTATTAGTTTCCCCTGTTACGTTGCATTACAAAAATAAACAAACTTTTGCACGATATTCTAATTTTTCGAGTATCACCTGTATAATGTAATTTTGTTTGTTTTTTTTTAGTGGAGAAACAGGAGCAATTAAATTTGAAAGAGTATTTAAAAAATGCACAAAACGTTTGTGGACAATTGTGCCACTCACCCATTCCACCCTTTTTTTTTTATTTACTTTTTTCAACTTTTTGACTCCTACTCCTTCTGCTCCTGATTTTTTCATTAATACAAGCCTGACTTAAACCTTAGCACTTGGAGCGCTCGTAAGGAAATTTTCATTGATGATCTCCTCCGAAATTCGAACTTGAGCCCATTTAAAAATGTAAAATTGAAACTTGATATTTCTGATAAAGATATTGTCACCTATTTAAGAGTCAGAGGTTTTTTTAAAAGAATTCTTCTTAAAGCTTGAAGGAGACTACAAGAACTTAATACATATAATCTTTAAAAGAAAGGAGACTAAAGCAGTTAGCTCCATAGCCATGGAATTAATTACACAATCTTACTCAAGTATAGAACCTTCAGCTAAAAAGAAACGTGAAAAAGATTTGAACCCCAAAATTACAGACAAGGAATGGTGTTTCCCCTTGAGATTAGTTAAAAAGCATATACATTGCCTTAATATCATAGAAACATTTTTTTTAAAGTACTTCATAGATGGTACTTAGTCCCAACTAGATTGGCTAAGATATCTGCGACCCCACTCTGCTGGAGA